CATCTAACTCATAATCATTACACTATTCTCTAAAAAAAAAACCAAAAAATCAAAAAATTCTTCCCAAATCAAGCTTTTTAGCCCAGCCTAAAATAGTCAAAAAAGCCAAAAAACCAACCCACTTCCCAAACGGAGGCCTAGGAATTTTTGTACTCTTTTTTAAATATTTTAAGAATTTCTAAATGTTTGAAGAATATCATATTTCAAGTCATTTTTGTATTATTTTTGAATGTTTTCTAAATAAAAAATATTATCATATAAAAATTCATCTAAAATTTGATTGTCATATATTGTATATCTTGCTTTTCTATTACAAAAGAAAAAAAGAAAGAAAGAAGGAAATATAATAAAAATAAGGGTATAACCATAAATATAATTTCTAAATAATATATTAAATCTACCTTTCTAAAATCAATATAATTAATTGGTCTATAAAAAAATACTTTGGACTAAACGAAAGAAAAATTACTCATAAATCTCTTTTTGATAAATATTGCTCTAATTAGTCCTGAGTGTTTTTTCTTAAACCATTTAGTCCTTTTTATTTTTTGTATAACATATTTTTTGATATATTGAATACAGAGTTTACATTTTTACCAATATTGATTTTATTTTGCAACAACATCATCATCATTATCATCAAACATCAATTACATCATCGCACATCATCAATATTGGGAACATCATCGGATCATCTTCTCTGGTACAAGTAACAATCCAAACCACTAAACATAAAAAAAAGTCCTATCTCTCTCTCTCTTAACGCCAAAGCATCAACAACTTTTCAAAAGTGATCAAAAACCAAAAAAGATCCTATTTGATCATCCAATGTTTTGGATGTTTTTGATGTTTGTGGGTGCTTTCTCATTTGTTTGTGGGTGTTCCAATCGTATCATAGAAAGAGAACAAACAAAAAAAGAAAAACTGTTCGATGTAAATTTCTTCGATGACGGTGGTTGCTTTGAGATCCTCCTGGGCTCGCGCCATGCTTCAAATCTCACCTTACACCTTCTATGCTCTCGGCATCGCCATCGCCATCGCCGTCTCCGTTCACGATGTTCTGTTTTTTGATGATGTTTTGATGTTCACGATGATGTTTGATGATTTTTGATGATGTTCTGATGTTGCTGTTGTTCACGATGGTGTTTTGATGTTTTGATGTTCTAATGTTGCTGTTGTTTACGATGATGTTCACGATGCTTGCGATGCTGCCGATTTTTGATGATGTTTTGATGATGGTAATTTTTTGATGATGATAATTTTTTATGATGATGTTTTGATGTTTTGATGATGGTAATTTTTTATGATGATAATTTTTTGTTGATGGTGTTGATGTTTTGATGTTGCTGTTGTTCACGATGATGTTCACGATGTTTGCAATGTTGCCGATTTTTGATGATGTTTTGATGATGGTAATTTTTTTTAAATGAATCTGATGTTTAAAACACCCACAAACATCAAAAACATCGGATGATGTTTGGAAAAGGAGAGAAATCTAAAAAATGTCTATAGTAAGCTTTTTGGGCAATTCGATAAATTACACATAAATACCAACCCAAAATTACCCCATCAATTACTTACCTAGACGCATAAAAAATTGGGTACTAATGTCTTTACACATAAAATATGACCTATTAGTCCATCAAAAAAACGTTGGGACTAAATGGGTTAACATTCTCAAATTAGAGATTTAATGGTGCTTTCCCCCTAAACGAATTACCCTTCCTCAAAATGGGATTTATAGTTAAAATTGATATAAATAAAATTATAAAAATCAAATTAACACAACAAATAACTATAAAAATATTACTTTAATAAATATAATTACATAAATTATATATATATAGAGTTATTTCGGAAAAGATAATTAAAGTTATCTTTCAACTTTTAATCTATTTTGCGTTATGCCATCTCTTTATTTTTTTACATAATTTTAAAAAATAACTTTTAACCAACTTTTCAAACCAATCAATTATTTAAGCTTTTAATTTTCTCGATAACCAAACAGACCTAACAAACGTAGAGCTATATAACAACTTATGTTAATTGATGTGGAGTTGTAATATATTATCACACACCGTAACGAATATCTACGATGATTCTAGGTTTAGTTTCAATTTTTTAATTTAATTTTTTAGAAATAATTTTTTGTTTTCGTATTTTTTTATTTTTAATAAATATTTGTAAATTTCAATCTTTTTTTTTTGATACATATTACTTAGATGTATCTAAAAAGTAAAATACTTTTAAAATAATAAATACACAAGAATACGAAAAATATATTAAATTCTCGTATTTTTTTAAAATTATATTTTTTTGTATTTAATGATTTTTTTTATTTTAAGTATATTTATATTAAGTAGGGTTGGGCATAGGGTTATCCAAACCGCGCCAACCGAACTGATTGGCATACAAATTGATGGTTTCGCATACACAATACGGGTAGATGCGGTTAAATTTTTTAGAAATAATTTTTTGTTTTCGTATTTTTTTATTTTTAATAAATATTTGTAAATTTCAATCTTTTTTTTTTGATACATATTACTTAGATGTATCTAAAAAGTAAAATACTTTTAAAATAATAAATACACAAGAATACGAAAAATATATTAAATTCTCGTATTTTTTTAAAATTATATTTTTTTGTATTTAATGATTTTTTTTTATTTTTTTCACAAATATTATATTGTTTAAGTATATTTATATTAAGTAGGGTTGGGCATAGGGTTATCCAAACCGCGCCAACCGAACTGATCGGCATACAAATTGATGGTTTCGCATACACAATGCGGGTAGATACGGTTAAGAATATGGCATGATTGCGAGTTGCGGGTTTAACTTGCACCCATAAGAACCCGCTCGCATTTAGACTTTTTTTTTCTTTTTTAATTTTTAAACCCAAACCTTTGTTATTTTATTATTGCATTTTGGATAAATGTACAAGTTAATGCAGAATTACTTTAAGTAAGTTTATGATTTTGAATGAATTTACTTAATTGTATTGTTGGGTAGTAGATAATGAATGAGATTGATGATGTAGTTTAAGATTTTGAAAGATATGCTTGTGTTAATTTATGATATTGAGGTGATTTAAGATATTCTAGTGTATTTTTTGACTTTTTTTATAAAAGAAAATATGTAGAAAAGTAGAGAAAATGAGTAAAAAATTAAATAGAATATGTTGATAGATGTTAATTGATGTGACTCAAATAAGTGTATGTATGTAAAAAAGTGTACTTTTTAGTACATGTCAAATAAACACTTGATTTATAAGTTTAGGATTTTGAATGATTTGTTTGTACTAAGAATTGATTTTGTTGTGATTTTAATTTTATAAGTTTTGTTTATTCATTATTAATGTTGGAACTTTTAGAATATGGGCGAATAGGGCCCAAAATAAATATTTACAAAATGGAAAAAAAAAAATGCTCCAAAATAAATTTTTAAATAAAAAAGTCTAATCTGCAAACCGTCTCCATATCGGTGAACCCTATCCGTACAAACAGCAACTCGCACTGCGGACAGGTGCAGGTTGAATTTTTCCCAAACTGTATACATGTAGATGGGTCCAAACTGATCCGCGATTACCTCTAATATTAAGTGTATCGATTTTTTTTTTTAAATTCAATAAAATAAAAAATATATATGAAAATTAAAAAAAGAATATTTTATTATTTTAAATAAGTTTTAAAAATTTAAACTAAACAAGCTGATTTTATTTTATTTTTTGTTTTTGATTTCACTCAAGTATAGATATTTATAGGGGTGAAAAAAATGGCCCTATGGGCGCCTCGAAGCCCACCCGTTGTTTGGGTTGGGCCCAACTTGTTTAGGCTCGGGCCCAAGTCCAGCTCGAGGAGCCATCGTTTTGAAGCTTGGCTCGGCCCGTTGCTCAGCCTATCGGCCCGTTCAAAGCCCACTCAAAAGCCCCGCTCGCTTGGCCCGCCCGAGGCCAGTGTCATTTTTAATAGAAAATAATAAAATTTTGGTGAAAAAAAAAAAAAAAAATTGTTTAGGCCCGTCCAAGTCCGCTCAAAGACCGAGCCCAGCCCCAGGGCTGGCTAAAGTACGAATACCCCTTGGGCTTAGGCCTAGTTTTTAAGTCTGTGAGTCAGTCTGGCCCGACCCATTTTTAACAGAAACCTACAAGGCCCGACATAAACTAGATCAAGCCGAACCAGGATTACATCCCTAGATACATAACACTTTTTAAGTAGTCCGATCTCATTATCGACGTAATGAGTTTTAATGATTTTTTTTATTATTATTTTATTTATGTGTTTTTTTTTTTTGGTTACAAGAAAATCCTTCCTACCATTCGCACAGGTCTAAGGCAGCGCCCCGTGCAGAGATCAGTAGAGTGTCTTGTTAACCGTTTCGAGCGAGAAGACTATAACCTGGGAACTTGTCTCGACCTCCCAAGATAAACTCTGCTTAAGTCAAAACTCGCACAGCAGGAGTATTGAACCTATACCAAGTACAACTTAAGTTCTAACCTCTTAACTAACTGTACTTTAACTAAGAAATTGACCCAAAAAATAGAGAATTAAATGTGTGACCTAAAAATTTAAACTTCAAGCCTAGACTACAATGCCATCCACCATGTGGTGAGTTTGAATTGACCCAAAAAATAGAGAATTAAATGTGTGACCTTAAAATTTAAACTTCAAGCCTAGACTACAATGCCATCCACCATGTGGTGAGTTTGAATTGACCCAAAAAATAGAGAATTAAATGTGTGACCTTAAAATTTAAACTTCAAGCCTAGACTACAATGCCATCCACCATGTGGTGAGTTTGAATTGACCCAAAAAATAGAGAATTAAATGTGTGACCTTAAAATTTAAACTTCAAGCCTAGACTACAATGCCATCCACCATGTGGTGAGTTTGAATTGACCCAAAAAATAGAGAATTAAATGTGTGACCTTAAAATTTAAACTTCAAGCCTAGACTACAATGCCATCCACCATGTGGTGAGTTTGAATTGACCCAAAAAATAGAGAATTAAATGTGTGACCTAAAAATTTAAACTTCAAGCCTAGACTACAATGTGTAGTTCAATAATATTAGCTGGCAAAGGGGCTGGCTAGGTCAGCGAGGTCTCAACCGCATTCGTCTCTCGGCGCACAGGTTCTCTCTCTCTCTCTCTCTCACACAGACACACACAGACACACACATATTTGAGAAATTGAGTGTTCATTTTGCTAATTAGCTTGTCTTTACCCACATTATCGCTCCCTCAATCGAAACAACTCTCTGTGTGCGATCAAAGTCACGAACACTCTAAAATTTGTGCTAATTACTGACTGACTGAGTACCTACAATTTTGTTAGGGTTTGTAAAAATGGTGTTTTGAGTTATTTTTATGATCTGATCTCACAGTCAGAACCATCCAACTCTGAAGAATCAGGAGAACAAGAGTCAAAGACAGGTTCTTGATCTGGTGCTTTGTCGGTCCAAATGAGTGCGTCGAGGTTCATAAAGTGCGTCACGGTTGGTGATGGTGCTGTCGGAAAAACCTGCATGTTGATTTCATACACCAGTAACACCTTCCCTACGGTGAGCTCCAAGACTTGTATTCCATTTCATTCCATTTCCTCTCAACTTTCTGACTTCTTTTTAAAGTTTTTGCCATCTTTTGACTTTGATCTACCTCTTTGTGAAAGAACAATGTTGATTTTTTCAATTTTATTTTTTTGGGTATGGTTGTGTTGTATCTTGAAAGATTGTAGACACAAACTGTAAGTTTAAATGGTTCTATGACATTGTATAGGGTTGTGAATGCCAACAAATTTGGGGAGTTTATAGTTTTTTAATAATCATTTAATGGGTACTTCAAAAACAGGTTGCAAACATATTTTTAGAAGTATTTTGTGGGTTCTGTGCTGAACCATCTGTTGGGTTCTTGCTTGAGAGAGTTCGAAGAACTGATTTTGGTATATGAATTATGACTGCTTTGTCATGTGGCTGCATCTTGACACAATAAAATGGGGAAGCTTTGTGTCTTATATACATCATTGTGGTCGTATTACAACTGAATAAATGAATTTGTTCTTTCACCTGTAAAATAAACACTCATGGCAATATACACGTTGTTACGCTGGTGTTGCTTTTTTCTTTTCTATTTTGCTTTCGGGGCAATTAAGTTTAAAGTTTAGGATTCTTTTCATTAGGAAAGTTTCAGATTTTGTCATTGGCTCTTGAAGATTCTTTGGATGGAAGGGTGTTTTCCAAGTTGCCGCGTATCACATCCTAGACTTTTGTAAAGAGACCGGTGCTTGTTTTCTTGGTTTGCCGCGTTGATTGGGCTATATCTCTTCTCTAACAAGTCCAATGGCCTTTCTCATGGTTCAGGATTTAGCTTGCTTGATTAACTAGAATGAGATAATAATGTCTGTTGGAGTTGCTTATTCTTTTTAAAAAATTTCATTCTTCAGCTAAGTCACTGATTCGCGATGCGGGAGCGAGAGCATTCTCTGTGAAAATACCTTGAGAGTAGGATCGCCTTCAGAGCATATAGATATGCAGTTTAATATACATTTATATTTATAAAAATATAATTAAAGTAGTTTAGTTTTTATGTGTTTAACACAGATAAAAAAGTAATTTTATTCGCTGTTAACAAACAAAGTCCCATGAGTACATAAATAATTAACATTGCACTATAGTTGATTGATGAATCATATTGCTGATTGGTTAAGGGGTAATTTGTGTAACCATCTGGTTATGTGTTCGAGCCATTTAGACATCAATATTTTTCCTTCTACATATAGAATTGGAAAATATAGCTGCCAGAGACAGACCTGGCGTTAATTTAGACACGTGACCAGTTATTATTGGCTATCATTGAATTTGTCCCGAGATTGCGGATTAGGCCAATTGGATTTGTGAATTGCCCACGATTTAGCACCAAATCTGCTAATTCCCAGACTGAAGCGCGACCAGCTACCTAACCTTACGGATTAGGTGAACTAGGTCTGCATTCTCTATTTCTGAATGATTGTGTTGTAACTTTTGGATTTCTTACTATTACTGACATGTCGTGGAAGAAAACTTGTTTAGTTATTGGGCATTGATCTTTTTTATGTTTTTGCAATGGAAACAGGATTACGTGCCAACTGTTTTTGACAATTTCAGTGCAAATGTGGTTGTGGATGGGAGCACAGTCAATCTAGGTTTATGGGACACTGCTGGTAATTTTAAATAGCTTGTTTCTAAACCAGGTGATCTTTTTGGTTTCAGTACTTTCTCAATTTTTCTTGTTTTGGGTTTAACTGTATTAATGGTTTAACAGGTCAGGAGGATTACAATAGATTAAGACCTTTGAGTTATCGTGGGGCAGATGTATTTCTTCTTGCATTTTCTCTCATTAGCAAGGCCAGTTACGAAAATGTTGCAAAGAAGGTTAATACATAAGACCCTTGGATGTGTCCTATTTTAGGGCTATTATTTGATGTGTACTTATGTGTATTGACAACTTGTTTCTGTTTTGATTCTATTTCAGTGGATTCCTGAACTGAGGCATTATGCACCAGGTGTTCCAATAATTCTTGTTGGAACAAAGCTTGGTAAGATACATCATGCTAGAACTGTCACACTTTTTGTTTTGTTTTTTGTTCTTGTTCATTATGATGGTTTTGTGTGTGGAGTATGGCATCTGGTGGTTAGGTTCAGCATGGCATCTGGTTAGCTTTACACCTTGTTTATTGGACGTTCTCTTTTGAGCTTAGTAGGAACCTCATCTTAGCTCTTAGATCCAGTATAATGATGAAGCTTCTACACACACGAGATTTGTGTTTAAATTGAGCCTAATGAGAGTATTTCATTTTGAACCAGTGGAGAATATCAATTGAATTTTTTTCTTCAAATTTAGGAAATTTGATTACTCCTGTATGTGTGTTAATCTCATCCCATTATTGGCATTTAATATGCTGGCTTTTAGTTGAGCCTTCTTAGTAAACATTTTGAAAGGGAACAAATTTGTGTCTTACCTTGTTATGTGCAATCTAATACTTTATATGTGATTATCTTATTAATTACTGATGTATTGAAGTCCTTTTTATTTTTTTGATCTATCCTATTTTAATGAAAGGTGGAAAATATTGAGGTAATAGATGGTAGGTTGGTGGACACAGGTTGGAAGTTGAATTGGTCTAGTTTTTGAAAGAGAGATAAAATGGAGTTGAGAGAGAGAGAGAGAGAGTATAAAAAAGGTTTAGGTGGGAAATCTAGGACCGAAATGCATGTATATAGAGGTGCATATATGGTGAATTTGAGTTTGGGTTACCATGGCAGCCCATCTCTTCTGTGTAGACCCAGACCAAATTTAGTTTTTGGGTTGAAATAAGTTTGCCCAAGCTCTAGCCCAAATGCTAAAAATATTATCTGGGCCTTAAAAAATTCCCAGCTGGGCTCAGGTTAGGAAGCACGGATACGGATACGGATACGGATATGGATATGGGTACGATACAATACGGATACAGTGGTACAGCAAAATTTGAAAAATTAGGATACGGGTACGGCGGGGATATGTTCGTAAAAAAATATTATTTTTATAATTTTTAGTAATGTAGTATGTATAAAAATAAAACCTAAAGCAAAAGACAACTTGATAAAAAGGAAAGATTCCTACAAAGCTAAGAGTCTTCAAGGTCAATAGCTTAGCTGCACAAAAAAAATAAATAAATAAAAATTAAAGGGGTTAGTACAGTGAGAGGGAGAGAGTGAGATTGAGCGAGAGGGAGGGGGGAGAGAGAGAGAGAGAGGGAGATCGAGTGAGAGAGAGGGACTGAGATCGAGTGACAGAAAAGTGAGAGCGAGAGCGAGCGAGCGAGCAAGCAAGAGCGAGAGAGAGAGAGAGAGAGAGAATGAGAGTGAGAGTGAGAGCGAGAGAGGACAAACCTTGATCGACGACGACTCCTCAGAGTTGTTGCTATTTGCGAATCGCGATAGAGACGACGATGACTCCTCAGAGTTTCTGTTGTTTGTGATAGAGGCTAGGGTTTGTTTGATTTTTTTTGTTTTATTTTAGATAGCTTTTGTTATTTTACACTTTGACCCCATTACAAGTTTTTATAATTATTTTTTCGCCCCACCGTATCCGGAAAGTATCCCAAGCGTATCCTTGAAGTATCCTTGCATATCCGAAATTCAAAAAAATTATAAAAAAAAAAAGGGATACTTCTTTGCTGTATCTGATGCGTAACCTGCTGTATCGGACGCGTATCCGTATCCGATATGCGTACGGGGGCCATTTCGGAGTATTGCTTCATAGGGTTCAGGTTACTCAGAGCCAACCCGCCTGAATTGCATCCCTAGGAGAGGGTACACTCGGCCGGAGACTGAGCATGTTTTGGTCTTGAGAGGAGAAGGATAGGAGAGACATGCTCAGTTGAAGAACCATCAAACTGAGACGAGAAGGCACTGAGCATATCAATCTCAAGTATAGAGGGTGACCACTTGAGTGGAGACTTCTTAGCAAAGTTGAGGGAGTGCCACGAGTGGTCTGTAGCATGCATTGTCTGTAAAAGCCTAGGCTCAATGCAAGGGCACCTGTACACTTGTCTTAGCTGGTGTAGTTTGACCTCGGAGGGGAATACATGGCATGGAATGTGTCATTAGCCCACATGTCACCTCACGAACATGTGGCACCATATACTCCTGTGAGATACCAGTGTGAAGATGATGTGGAGATGCAATGTAGCACAGTTGGACTCCCATACCTAAGGTGTCTTTGCTTTTCTTCCTTGGCAAGGCTCTTTTTTCCTATTCAAATTGTTTTGGAGTGTATACTCGAGTGATGTAATTTAATGCTGCCAGAGGTTGAACTTACCTTTGAAGGCTTCCCTTACCTTGTTTCTGTTCCCCTGTTAAGATGGATTCTGTATTTTTCTTGCCACTAGGCTCTTGTACATATGTATTTCATTTATCGCCTGTGCACCCAAATTGATTATTAACATGGCTTATAATTTTTATTGACTCATGATTATTTTTTTCACTGTTCTGTCTGTCTAGTGGATGTCCTACTCTTCCTATAAAGTCGGCCTCTTGTTTTATGTTCTCGTTGACCTGCAGATCTTAGGGATGATAAACAGTTCTTTGTAGATCACCCCGGTGCAATGCCCATTACCACAGCTCAGGTAAAGACCGTTGCTTTGCATATCCTAATTTTTCCTCCTGAGTCTATGAGTTTGGTATTTATGGTTTGTGTTTCATTTTCTATTGAAGGGAGAGGAGCTGAAAAAACTGATTGGAGCTCCTGCCTACATAGAGTGTAGTTCGAAGACACAGCAGGTATATATATTTTCTTGACACAATAATACTAGGGACCAAGAACATAGACAAAAATAAAATAAAATAAAAATCAAGAAAAATACTGTGAGGTGTAGATTCATTCTAAATGCGGGCCTCCCACCATACGCTTTGGAATTGGGAATGTTGCTGTGCGGGCTGCGCAGCAGCGCCTGATGTGCAGCGAAATGGGCCCATTTCGGGATCTATTTCGATAATTCAAACCGTTCATATTTTAGAATACATCAAGTAGAGCATGCCTGCAAAAAATCAAATTAATCGGATATCGTTTACCCATTCATCCACTCACATTTGTATATACAAAAATAAAAAATAATTGTGATTTAAAGTATTAAAATGGATACAAATGTGAGTGGATGAATTGGTAAACGATATTTGATGAATTTGATTTTTTCCAGGCATGTTCTACTTTATGTATTCTAAAATATGAACGGTTCGGATTATCGAAATGGGCCCATTTCGCTCTTCCTACAAGAGTTGAATCTAAACCATACTTTCTTTTTTTTTCCTTGCTATTTTTCTGTGTCTGAGTTGTTCGTGTTTTCAACGTCTGTTCACATTAATGGGCAGAAAATGTTTATTTCCTTGTGATTGATGTGGTAGCTATCTTCTTGTAAATGCAGAATGTGAAAGCAGTTTTTGATGCAGCCATTAAGGTAGTGCTCCAACCACCCAAGCAAAAGAAGAAGAAGAGAAAGGCACAAAAGGTCTGTTCCATATTATGATCGTGGAAAGAATAGGCATGGAAAAAGAGAAGATGATCGATCTATCATCAGCCTCTCTTGATGAAGTCCGTCACTTTTCAAGCCAAACGTTCCATTTCAAGGAAACAGCAAGCCTTTTGGTGTATAGTCTTCACTGACTTACTAGGAGGGATTACTGTGAAAACAGCAGGTGGTTTGTTCTCGCAAAACTGGATTTTATGATATGTACTTGTAAACTAGGTGTCTTCGACATCTTGCATGTCTCTGTTGTTCTGTGTGTTTAGGATTGTGACATATATTAACCAGATGTGATGAAAGATCCCTACCATTAGAGAGCTGTTCCCTTGGATAAACAGGATTAAATTATATAATTTGTATTCTAATTTTGATTGAATGTTGCCCAAATGGTTCATGTCATGCTTCTAGGAATGCTATTGCGACCAGGTAAGCAGTTTTTCGGTGGTTGGCGGTATACAGGGTGTGGTAAGGGTTCTAACTTCTACTTCTATGTGAATTTATGGTGAGGCCATTAAATTCTGTGATTATGATGTCATATATATAGAAACATTAATGATAGATATCATAAAAAAAACCTTTCATGAAAATAATCATGAAAGTTTTTTGACCCTTGGATTACACTTAGAATAAAATACCATACACTAATCAAGGTAATCTAAGAATTATAACTCTTTCATGATCATTTTCATGAAATTTTTTTTTATGATCTCTAACTTTTCTCATATAGAAAAGTTCTTGGAATAGCATTTTTTGTTTGTGTTTTGGAGGAATAGGATTTGCTTTATAGAATCAGTTCATGCTCTAAACTGATTCTTTCCTCTCCTTTAATATATATATATATATATAGATTGAGGTCTGTTTGTTTGAGATTGGAATTGAGATGAAGGGGAGATCAATTATATGTTGTGTTTGTTTTGTGAGATGGAGAGAGGATTCATAATCTCATGGGATTAGGCTGGGCCTTGGTGTTGTGATTGAGATAGAGGAGGTGGAGATGAAATTAGGAAATTAGTCCCATGGGATTAGGTTTTTTATTTTTTATTTACATGTTGGGTATTTTTTTTAAACATTAATATTTTTTGTATTTTTTGTTTTAATGTTTTATTTGTTTTAATATTTTATATTTCTTTTATAGGGTAATAATTTAACAATTCTTACATTAACAATTATTATCAAAACATGCACAATTTTACTTAATTCCTTCATTAATAATTCTCTCATTATTAATCTTTTTTATTTTACCTCTGAAAACAAAGGGGTCTAAATTCATTGACTTTGGTCCTCAGGTATGCATATACAATATTAATACAGATAACAAATTTTTTACCTATGTCCAGCCCACTCCACACCACAGTCAGCTTTTTATTTTTATTTTTATTTTTTTTTGTTTTTGGAAGAGTTGGTTGGAGGCAAGGTTTTGAAAATTAGACCGGATTGGCCGGTCTAACCGGTTAAATTGTTGATCGGTTGGGGTCCGGTTCAGATATATTTTCTAAACCATTCGAAGTTAAAAACCGGCCTAATTAGAGAGAACTGAGAAAATCGGTGGTTGAACCAGTGAACTGGTTGACCCAGAGCTGGTTCACTGGGTTGATGGATTTGGTTTTTTTTTTTTAGATTTCTACTTACTTTTTTCCTTCTTATTATATATATACATATAATATATAAGAATATTAGAAAATTTTAATTGCAAACTCTCTTTCAAAGGTCTTCTCTTGTGAGGAATCCCATTTAGGAGTTTGAAATTATTGTGAAAGTCTCCACCTGTTTATAAAAAAAAAATCTTCAAAAAAACTCAATAAATCCATGTGGGATTCAATCAAATGTATTGAAGGGAATATTGAAATTTTGATATCCTTCCAAAATTTTTGTTTTTCTTTCAATCAAATAATTTGAATTAAAATCATATGGAGGGAATATTAAATATTTGATTTCCTCTTCCAAAATTAAAATTAATAATATTTTAAAATATATTATTATATTTTTCAGTAAAAAAATTTTAGGACAAATATTTAAGATAATTTAATATTTTTAATTTATAATTTTATAATTTTTATTTTTATTTAAATATAATTTTAATATATTTGTTGCGTCACTGTTCGATTCCGGTTCAACCCGACGGTTGAACCGGTGACTCATCCACTTGATCCATTTTCCAGTTCGCTCACCAGTCCGATTTTTAAAACATTGGTTGGAGGTATGCTATTATTAGATTACATTAATTTAAGGACAATGACAAAAGATTTTCTAAGTTCATTCTTATAATATTTTGGATATCAACTTTAAACACAAATAACCCTGCATGAATATTATAAACATCTCGCGTTTAATTTTTTTTTTCTTTAGAAATGTGGATTTTTATTTTTTGAATCATTTTGTTGAGATGTATCAAATAAGGGTTATGATGAATGTGAAATTTTGGAGGAAAAAATTAAGATACTGTGAAATTTTCCTGGTTCACCGATTTTAACATGTGAAATTTTTAATTAAGCAAATAGAAACTTGTTATGGTTACTTCAATAGTTTTTCCCAAACTTGAATTATTTAATAAATTGGTCTAAAAATTTGTCCCAGTTCTTTATCTTATCAATATATGAATTAGAAGATAAAGGTTAGATTACATTGAAAATGGCAAGAAGTTATTACAATTCTAATATAATTACACCTATATCTATTTTGATAAAGTTAAAATGTTCGAAATTAATGTAGATGAGTTGTAAATGCAAAAATAAAAAAATGTAAAATTTATATTTCAATGTAAATTATTATTTTTTTCTATTCGTATGACAATAAATTATTAATAAAAAATGGAATTACTATTAAGTGAATCAAAATCTTAAGAGATTTTAATATCATCATGTAAAGTTTGTGGTAATTAATGTATTTTTTTTAATTGCAAGAGAGGTTTGTGTAATTTAGCAAAAAGTAAATTACACTTTGCCCCTTTTATTTTTGACCATTTTTTTTTTAGCCCGTAAAGTTTATTTTCCCTATTTTGGTCCTTTATGTTTCAAGTTTTTTTCGATTTACTCTTAAAATTAATTTTTGTTTAAAATTAGACAGAAAATATAATAATAACTGTCACATAATATAAAAAATATTTTATTATATTAGAATTTAAGTTTATATGAGAGATGTGAGTTATATATAATAAAATATTTTTATGTCACGGGACTATCAAAGTGCTATTTTTATGTATAATTTTCATAAAAAATAATTTTAGGAATAAATTGAAAAAAACTTGAAATATGAAAGGGCAAAATGAAAAAAATAAAATAAAATTAAGGTTAAAGTAAGAAAGTAACTAAACATAAAAGTAGACAAAGTGTAACGGGTGTTTTGAAAAGATGGTTAAAAGTTATTTTTTAAGATTTTTTTTGCTTTTTTTGTGAGAGAACCCACTTTCCAAAATAATCCTAATTTAGGAGTGATTTGAGATGTTCTAAATAAGTGCACTTTTTGACTTTTTATAAAATATGAGTTGGGTTTAAAGTGATGTGATTTAAATAAAATGACGTGACTTAAATAAAATAGTGACTTTTTAATTTTTTTGACTTTTTTAGTACATGACAAATAAGGCCTTAGCAAAATAAATGCGGGTACGGACCCATGCCGACCCCGAAGCCGCACGTAAACATCGGGTCGGGTAAAGAAATTGGTCCAACCTACCGGTAAAACAAGGTTCAATAAACGATGGCGGTGTGTAGCAATTCAAGTGGCCAAAAATAGTCATCGGAGAACCACTGGAACGCAACTCTGCAACTGATCCATCAGAGAGAGAGAGAGAGAGAGAGAGAATGATCGCGAATGGAATCGAAGACGAGGACAAATGGCTCGCCGAAGGCATCGCAGGGATTCAACACAATGCTTTCTATATGCACCGCGCACTGGTAATTCATCATACCTATCAATCAATATTTTTTCATTCAATTCTTTCATATTCAAAACCCTAACTCTCCGATTCGTGTGTTCATCAGGACTCCAACAATCTCAGAGAAGCCCTAAAATATTCGGCGCAAATGTTGTCTGAGCTCCGAACATCTAGACTATCTCCACACAAATACTTTGAACTCTGTATATATATAGCCTTTGATCATCGTCGACGATTTTATTTTTTTATTTTTTTATTTTTTCTGTATCGAAATTCAATTGATTATTTGTTTACTGTTGTGATGTGTCAGATATGCGAGCCTTTGATGAATTGAGAAGACTTGAAATCTTCTTTAAAGAGGAAGATAAACATGGTTGTACGGTCTCTGACCTCTATGAACTCGTCCAGCATGCTGGAAACATTTTACCCAGATTGTAAGTTGGAATCACTTGTGATTTGGTCCTTCAATTCTATTGTTCTGTTTGTACTAATAACAATATTCATGCATTTCTTGTAGAATTTATGTAACTCCTAAATCAAAATAAAGAGGAAGATAAACATGGAATTCATTTGTTTTTTTGGGGGGAAAAAAAAAAAAACTGAAGGTTTGACTCTGGTGACAAAATCAAATAAACATTGAATTTTTAATTTGATCAATTTAGACCATAATATTTTGATTTATTTTCAGTCTTACTTATCCACCTGTTTTAGTCATTAAACTGGTGTACATAAAATATCTAAAATGTCATTTTTTGTTGAGTTTGATGATTAAAATACCAATTTTCAGTCAATTTTATTTAACAAAAACAGGCAAATGATTTAGATTGATAACAAAACAAAAGATTAGAATTTAAATCTCTATCTCCCATTTATATCATGTAAACTTACTGGGTGGACATGATATCACTAAGAAATAGCCTTGCTGAATCTGTCAATATGTTTTCTACTTTCTTTTCACATGCGTTTGCATATTCCCCGACATTACCTGTGCTGCGGGGGATATGAAGTTCTTGTCTTGATTTGTCAGGTATCTCCTTTGTACAGTAGGATCTGTTTACATTAAATCAAAGGATGCTCCTGCTAAGGATGTCCTAAAAGACCTTGTTGAAATGTGTCGTGGTGTTCAACATCCTATACGTGGGCTCTTTTTGAGGAGTTATCTTGCTCAAGTCAGTAGAGATAAGTTGCCTGATATTGTTTCTGAGAAAGAAGGGTAAGTTGCCACCTGATTATTATTTATTATTATAAAATTAATTTCTTTAGAATTTTTGTGAATGAAGACACTTTCATATTATGGACTGAATCTACCCACAATATACATCGGGAGTGCATTGAAACATATGGACAGATAAGTTACACTTTCATATTATGACTTGTGGCTGGCTACTTAGTGATATCTCATCGTTTTCCTGCAGAGATGCTGAAACTATCATGGATGCTGTAGAATTTGTGCTGCAAAACTTCATAGAGATGAATAAACTTTGGGTCCGGATGCAACTTCAGGTTTGTTGGAATATCTCTAAACTATTTGTTCTGATGTTTTGACATGCATGGCACCCCGGTACTTACATGCCACAAAGGTAAAATGAATTATGAAGGCATGATTTTTGGCCATGCAGGTGTTATAGATCTTGTGATACATTCATTCTCTTTGGTGATGCTGAGTTGAGGCCTTCAATCGGGCTTTCTGGTCTGCAGGGACCGGTCCGAGTAAAAGAGAAACGGGACAAGGAAAGGAGCGAGCTTCGTGATCTCGTAATATCATTGTTCTGAAGCTGGTTTATTTTGCTATTAGATTGTTTTGACACTTCCAGAAATGCATCATTTTGCCATCCCTCTGAATTTCCAGGTTGGAAAAAATTTGCACGTTCTCAGTCAGATAGAGGGCGTTGACCTTGAAATGTACAAAGATACCGTTCTTCCCAGAGTCTTGGAGCAGGTTCACCTCAGTCAGAGCTGCTGTCTTTCTCTGCTCTGGAAAAATATAGTATGCAATCTGATCATCTTGGCTATGTGCCCAAATTTTTTGACAGGTTGTCAATTGTAAAGACGAGCTTGCGCAGTATTATTTGATGGACTGTATAATTCAGGTCTTTCCAGATGAGTACCACTTGCAGACTCTTGAGGCGTTGTTGGGTGCTTGCCCCCAACTTCAGGTGGGTAACAGGATCATATAAATCGGAGTATATATTCTTCAGTGATTTAGCTTTTATCTGCAAGTAGCGGAATCCGAAAACTACCTATCTCCTGTTTCATGACGGTAGTTTCTTTCACATACTTAAGACTTTCAGTCCTTTCCCACATAGGAATACAGCTACAATGTTGTGAATTTTCAGTTGTGGGTTGATCTTGCTGTTTTTATTGGATGTGGAACTATGGATATGGAGTTCCTTAAGTGAGTTGAATGCTATCCATTGTAGTTGTTCAAGTTGTTCCTAGTTCCTAGTTTCTTCAGTGGAGATGTGTCAATTGTCATGTAGTAAGTAGCTAAGTTTACAAAACTGAATGGCAACTTTGTGGGTGTTTGGAAGTTGTTATTTTAGTAGGTTATTTTAGTTTTTAGCTATTTTAGTAGGCTAAAATTGTTGTGTTTGGGAAGATAATTAGACTTTTTTTGTAGTTGGATGTTTGTGAGAGAAAAAATGAAATGATTATGGTTTTGATGTGACATTTTGTCTTATTGGCTACTTTAGCCTATTTTGTTTTTTTGTAGATTTTAGTCCAAAAAGCTAAAAAATAGCCTTTGCCAAACACCCCCATTATGTTATAAGGAGATTTTCATGCTGACATGACTGGATTTCTTCTTTTATCGTTACTTGGTGTCAGCAGTCGTGATTAGTGGAACTCCAGAAAAATTGTTATGCAGAATTGTTTTTTCATGTTGATAACATTCTCCAATAGTCATGATGCGCATCATGTAAAGATTAAACATGTTAATTGATTGGTTCTTTTACTGACTCAAGATACTGTACCAGATTGGTACAAAATTATGCATATGTATCCTCTTATTTCAAATGTATATCCTTAAATTACTGTTTTCCATTGATGATTTTGCTTTGCATGAAGAGCTTAGAATAGACAATAATACTAAGACTCTCGTTACTGTGTCATCATTTTGTTTCGCAGCCAGCAGTTGACGTCAAGACAGTGTTGTCACGACTAATGGAGAGACTGTCAAACTATGCAGCTTCAAGTCCAGAAGTGAGTTGTTCATATGCTTCTTTCATGGGTTATTCTTTTATACTTATTGATGTGGTCTTGTTTGTAGGTGTTACCTGAATTTCTGCAAGTGGAAGCTTTTGCAAAATTAAGCAGTGCCATTGGGAAGGTAATTCTCAAGCTGCCACAGTAGTGAATTAAACGTCTTTCTAATTTTCCCCCACTACATAAATGTCTCATTTTCTGACTAATTGCTTTATGGAAACCACTTGGTTGCATTGCATCTGAACTAAATAAGCACATTTGCTTATTTTTTAGCCTGTTATGAAATGGAAGCTTTGATTCCCAATAGGAGGACCATGTTAATCTTTAAAACATGTGTATCAAAGTGTTTCTGGATGACTTCTGATGGCACATTTGCTTATTCTTTGAACAGTTGTACAGGTTGACTCTCTTTGTTTTAATGGCAGGTGATAGAAGCACAGGTTGACATGCCTATCGTTGGTGCGATTACTTTGTTTGTCTCTCTTCTCACATTTACTCTCCGTGTTCATCCTGACCGGCTTGATTGTGTGGATCAAGTGCTGGTATGTTTATCCCCAAGTTAATGAGATAGTCAAATAGAATGTAGAATTTTTGTCCCCAAACTCTGGCTGTAGTCCCAACTGCGCTGTAGTTGGGAAATGCTCTTACTTCCCCCCTCTTTCGTTCCTCTTGCTTTCATTCCTTTTTCTTTCTCCAACCACCAGAGTTGATAAGGGGATTTGGAGGGAGAGTGGGCACACTATATTGGATTTTAAAAAGAAATAACTCATTAGATTGCCCATAACTTCTGATTACATTGGATGAAGTTATTAAGATACTCATATAGTTTTCGTTATGTGGCTTTGCTACCTAGAGTGTATGCCTTTAGATGCCATGTCATTTGGGCTACTATAGGTCATTTTTTACATGTGGTGAGATTCATCCTTGTTTTATTTATTGACAGGGATCGTGTGTTAAGAAACTTTCCGGAAAAGCAAAGCTTGAAGATAGTAAAGCAACAAAACAAGTTGTTGCACTTTTGACTGCTCCATTGGAGAAGTACAATGATATTGTAACTGCCCTGACACTTTCTAATTATCCCCGTGTCATGGATTACCTTGATAATGGAACAAATAAAGTCATGGCAATGGTTATTGTTCAAAGCATTATGAAAAACAACACTTGCATTTCTACTACTGATCAGGTATGTTGCATATTTTTTAGTTTGTACTATTTTGGTTGTGTGCTTTTCAAACATGGGCTATGCATCCTTCATTGCAGGTTGAGGTATTGTTTGAATTGATAAAAGGGCTTATAAAGGATCTAGATGGAACTTTGGCGGATGAGGTGCGCACATTAGAAGCTTCTATAGCTGTATTTAATTTTTTATTCTGAATCTCTGATGTACAGGCAGCTGAGGGTGGACCTTGGCCAAGTGGTAAGGTTGCTCTGTTGCAACATGGGTATCATGGGTTTGAAACATGAAAACAGCCTCTTCGTATTAGGGTGTAAGGCTGCATTCATTTTACCCTTCCCAAACCCCGCAGTGCCAAGAGCCTTGTACACTGAGCTGCCCCTGTTTTTAGGCACTCTAACTTTAACTTGTTAAGTTATGCGTATAGTGACTCTCTCTCTCTTTTTTGGGGTGTGCTTCCTGCCAATAGCTTGATGAGGAGGATTTCAAAGAAGAGCAAAATTCTGTTGCTCGCCTTATACACATGTTGAATAATGATGATCCGGAGGAGATGTTAAAGGTAATTGTTGTGTTGGAATTATTTCCCCCTATAATTATGCCTTTGATGCTAATTTTACTACTTCATTTTGTTACTTAAGGGTTAAGTTGGTTTAGATGAAGTTATGATGGTTCCCAAGCTTTGATGAGTTCTTTTTTATCTTCCTTTATGAAGTTTGTTGTTCCGTTAAATAATTATTTTTACAGTTCTGTTCTGTTTGACCATGGTTGATTTGATTGAATAAACGGTAAATTGTGTAGCACTATTCAGTCCGTCATTTGGGGTTGAGAAGCTATTGCTTTGTGCATGCTGTCTATTTTGCAGGCCTTGAGATCCATTACTGGCATAACATGACTGTACATCTTGACTTTGTAGTTTAACTGAAAAATAAATAGGTTTTCTATTGGCTTCCTTATGTTTCAAGTGTTTCTGCATATATTGTTACACATTATTTATTCAATTTCTTCCTCTTTTTCCATAATTATATGTTACATGGAGTCTCCACCTCTAAGGACACATGACACTGCAAATATGTTTATAACATGTGTAATTGAACATGAACCTAGCAAGCATGTTTGATAATTTAAGTTTGCTGAATGATTTTGAATAAAGACATGGCAGCTTCAAAATAGGGAAGTATCCTTGGTTAATGTTCTATGTTACATGACAATAAATTTTACCCTTGGAAACAGAAGAATATACTAAGAAACATAAAGTGTTTTAGCAGTGTCCTTGTGTTATTGGACTGGGGAATTAGATGAATCCGACACTTTTAACACATACATGTGTCCAACGCATGTAACCACGTACCTCTAACGTTAACGTAGTGATGATCTCCAAAATGTCATGCCTCACCTCAAAGGTAGCATTCTGACCTTCCCTAGGTAGGGTGACCCATATATGGCTTGTATGACAAAGCATAAATGGAGCAGGGGAAATGCTTGGTTATTTTAAAAAGTGCAAGGGGCATTCAAAATCCAAATTATGATAAATACCTATGCAAGTACTCATGCCTGTATGTATGTGTTGCACTGCATGTAATTATATAGCAAACGTTGATTTCCTATCATCTGAATATATAATATTAGTGAGGAATGAATATTTTGCAGCACAGTGAAAATATATAAGAACTATGTTGTGGAAAGCGTATTGAAATTTGAAAATGAAACTCAGAGACAGCGGATTGTCTATATGAATTATAATTAAAATTTCACTCATTGAAGATTGTCTTGGTCATTTGATTGTATTTAACTGGTTCTATTGCTCAACATTCAACTTCCTTTTAGTTTCTTGTTATGGTGGTTCTGTTTTTTGAACTATGTTATGGTGGTTCTTGTCAATGTAGTTTACGGCTTATCAAAATTTGTGTGCTTATCACCCCCTATTATGATTTTACTACTATATTTTTTTGGTACTTTTCAGATTATATGTACTGTAAGGAAGCATATTATGACTGGAGGTCCAAATCGCTTACCTTTTACTGCCCCTCCTCTTGTTTTTTCGGCACTTAAGGTTTGTTTCTTATTTCTAGAGAGCGAGCTTTTGTATAATTTTTTCGCCATGTAGACCATTTATTTTATTTTGGGTATGGCTTATTTTTGGGCTTTTTTGCTTATTATGATAAAACGTGCAGAAAAGTAAGGAGTGATGTGATAGAAATAAGCCAATAAGTAGCTTATTTTAGGTATCCCCAAACCAAGATGGACATAATGAACTAGTCACATGCCAATACATTCTGAAATTATTTTTTATGCATAAATTTAGTTCTCTAGTGCCTTATGGTTTTTATAGCTCCTGGAAACTAGATAGCACCTTCAAATTTCCAAATTTGACTCCTTTTTGTGCATCGGACGTCTGGGTTAGTGCTTGGGATTTTTGATGTGTTTTTGGTTCTTTAAAATGAGCAGGCCGAATTAAGAGCAGGTACTAGGCTTATAGTGTTGTATGTATGGCATCTCTGTGTAAGTCAATTTCTCAAAATGGAAGTTACGTAGAGGGGATTGGAATTGTTGAAGACTAACCACACTTTTTCCAAGGTTAAGTAGTGTGGAATAAGTTGACTATACTTATCCAAATCTTGTGATGCATGATTTGGATCTTATGATTTGATTTGATTTGACTCAACCCCTTTGATTGGAATCTCTTGGCCAAATATTGTATTGATAATAAATCTATTATTATTTTAAGTGAATCTTATGGTCTGGGATAGACTTTTTTTCAAATTTCCCTCTCCAGAATAAACTTCCCGAGGACTTCTCAAGGTCACAAAGTTCCTTTTTCCTATGCTATTAGAGCTTTAATGCTTTCAGACATTCAAGGTCACAAGGTTCTCTTTTTCATACACTATTATAGAGATTTAATTCTCTCATTTAAGTGACAAAAGTTCAAGTTTTCTTTCTCTACATAACTCCAAATCAAAAATAACTTTTTCCACAAATTTGTATATGCTATTTTTTTTAAAAAAATATTTTTTATGAAGTTTTGTGTTTTGAACCTTTGACTTAGGTACTTCTGTAAATGCTAGTAAAAATGGTTATGCGAAATTACTTTTAAAATTTGATAATTGTGATGATATATGTTTTGGTGGTTTAATTCAGACAAAATATTAGGCTGTGTTTGGTTTAGTTTTGAAAACTATTTTGAGAGCTCGAAACCCAAAATTTGTTTGGTTTACAATTTTTTCAAAACTGTTTTCAATAACTCTATCTCCTCTCTCCTCTCATATCCTACACATCAATCAATTACTTTTTCTCTCACACCCATCTATTCAACTATAATAATAAATAAATAAATACAAATACAAATCATTCCAAGCTACAAATCTCCAACTACAAAATTATTTTCAAAATATACAACCAAACAAATTTTTAAAATGTGAATACTCTTTTCAAAAACTTGTCTTTCAAAATAGATTTTAAAACTAAACCAAACGGATAACTTACAAATTTGTTTGCATTCTTAAGAAGTATTTTTTGGAGATGTTCGAGCATTTATAGAAAAAAATAAAACTAAAAATAGATTGATTTAAAAGGACATGAAAGTTTTTTGTAATGTTTGAAATTTTCTTTTCTTTTTCTTTTTCTTTTGAAAACGAGAATGCTAATTTGAGAATGAATTTGAATTGTATAGATACACCAACAATTGGTTGCAACTAGAGAAAATGTTCTGACTTGTTACAGGTTGAAAGTGTTAAATTTTTCTTTTTGAAATTATTTTTTACTGAAATTAAAAAGTTTAATGAAGTAACAGTTATTTGGTAGAATTTTTTGAAGAATATTATAAAGTTGGGGTGAAGGGGAAAATTATTAAGCAAACCAAAGGTAAAAAGAACAAATTGGAAAGGTGAAAATTTTTGTGAAAAAAATTATAGAAAGAGTTAAAATTAGTGAAACGAAGTAAGGAAAATTAGAGAAAACCGACTAGGGTTGTTTGGCCACATGCAATAAAGGGCAATAACTTCACCGGTGAAGAAGAGCAACATTGTCTACATTGAAGGTAACCTATGAAGCACGGACACGGACACAGACACGGACACGGACACGGGACACTGTGATTTCAAAAAAATGGGGACATTGACACGGACATGGCAAGAGATACGACAATTTTTTGTCTATTTTATTTTATATATATTTATTATGTAGATTAATATTATGTTACCAAATAATCAAAATTAATAAAGAATAACATTAATTCAATATATATATATATATATAAACCACTACATTTGAACAAATTAATAGATTAGCCATATTTGGACACGTGTGTCCCTTGTAAAAATATAAGAAAATTAAACGTGTCCCGGTGTCCCTTGATGTGTCCCTGCCATATCCCCTTCAAAAAAGAAAAAATATTAAAATTAAAGGGGCACGCCATTTGGTGTATCCCGTACTTGTCCCGGCGTATCCCCCATGTCCGACACCACTACGGCACCTATTTTGAAGTGTCCGTGCTTCATAGAAGGTAGCTACTAGGGAAGAGGAAGGTCATAGTCAACTTGCCTTAACAAAGTAAGGATCACTAGAATTACTGTTTAGTCAAGCATAACTTGTAGGTCATCACTTTTTTGTTAACTGTATGAGGTATGTATGATCCATGCAATGTATGTGCGTACCTGTTGCCTATCTTGTCAAATTATGTAAATTTTATTTGACTTACCTCTAAAGACAATGTACTAATCATCTCTCACTTAATATACTCTGATGTACGCAATCGATTCATCGACTAGTTCAAGCTTTGATTCATCAATTTAAGCAGAATTTTGTTCAAACATGTGCCAGGGGCTACTTGTTTTTATTCACTATTGTGCATTTATTTTTTTTCTCCCCCTCGCCCCATGAAAAGAGGAGTATGTGTAAATGCAACTAGAATTATTAGTTTAGAGTACATAGGATCTTGACTGTTTCATAATGCCCCTGAAAATGAACCTTTTTGAACCATTATTCGTGGCTTACAGTTGGTCAGACGACTGCAAGGTCAAGATGGAGAAGTAGATGGGGAAGAAGTTCCTGCGACACCAAAGAAAATTTTCCAGCTCTTAAATCAGGTTAACTTTTCCAACACCAAAGAAGTGTCTAAGCTCTTGTTACTCCCATATCAATAATATAGCATATGTCATGTTTCATGCATGAATATAATAAAATAATTTCTTTTGACACTGTTATTAATAGTTTGAGAAAAATTAAAATGTTCTTGAATTTAATTGATAGCCCTAGTTTAATAATTAATTTACAGTGAAAGGCTTTGAAAAAATTGAAATTTTTTCACACCATTGTATGTTGCATTCCTTATCATGTGGCTTGGTTATAAGCCTGCCTTTCTTCAGTTTCTGCATCATCTTTCATGTCTACTTGCATGTGACCTACATATCATGGAAGATGTTTGAATTCTCCATTTTCGGTTACCTACATCCTGTTTTTATTACAAGAATCATTTTTTACTATCCAGTTGTAATAAGATGCGAATACCAAAAGCATGTTCTATGATGCCTGGTGTTTATGCACCTTCACGCATGGTATGTGTCATCATTTATCAGTGTCATTCAATAGCTTGATGTCTGTTCTTTATCTTCCCCCACCCCTACCCCATTACTGAAGTTCTTTCATCTGTTCCATCACCTGAATATCTGTAATCATTTGTCATTATTGCATGTCATAACACAGTCCCTTTTTTTGTTTCAGACTATTGAGACTCTTTCATCTGTTCAGTCACCTGAACTGGCATTACGGCTGTATTTGCAATGTGCTGAGGTAACGTGTGACTAAATCGAGTACTTCATAATTGTTGGTTTCGGAAATTATTTCTAAAAAGCTTTTACAATAGAACTAGGAAGGAGCCTCAGAAAATTGATACTTTGCTGGAACAAATTATATCAATCAGAATACTGATGAAATTCTTTTTTACAAGGATGTTGAAAATTCTTATTCATCAGCTGAGGCTGCAGATGCATTAGTAATTTTCAATGCTGTGCTGCTTATCATCGCCTTCATATGTATTCAGCTTCCTTATTGAATTGCATTAGCACATATCATTGCTTGCTTTCATTTGCCCACCTAATGATAGCCTTAAATACGATGATATGTGGCCATTGATAGGCATACATTTCTTAACCATGGTTAACGTTAAATTTTTATCTCAGGCTGCCAACGACAGTGATCTTGAACCAGTTGCTTATGAATTTTTCACTCAAGCATTTATGTTATATGAAGAAGAAGTTGCGGTAATTGCCAATAAATTGTTTCCTTGCAGTTGAACTTACTTTGATAAAAATTACTCACAGGAAGCGACTGTGATTGGGTTATTTTTTTTACACACTTGATTATGTCTATGTTCAGGATTCCAAAGCCCAGGTGACTGCAATCCACCTTATAATTGGAACTCTACAGAGAATGACTGTATTTGGTGTTGAGAATAGGGATACCTTAACACACAAGGCCACTGGGGTAATAAAACTTACATAATGTTGTTAATTTTCCTTTTCAGCATGTTCTCACTATCATATTGTTACAACACCTTTCCTATGTTCAGTATTCGGCAAAGCTTTTGAAGAAGCCTGATCAATGCAGAGCAGTTTATGCATGTTCACATCTGTTTTGGGTTGATGACCAAGATGGAATCAAGGATGGAGAAAGGTGTATTACCTTGCACTTAATATTAGGAAATCATGGTTTGCTTTGCATATCACTTGTTTTACACTAAAGCCTTTGTAGAATTCAAAACCTCTTTCTAGTTTTGTGTTCAATTGTTTGTTTTATGGCTGTAGTCTTGTTCCATTCCACAAAATTTTAGTTTCAGTTGATTTTCAAACCAAAGAGATCTGACATACCGGCATCCTGTTTGATTTTAGGGTCCTACTATGCCTGAAGCGGTCATTAAGGATTGCAAATGCTGCACAACATATGGCCAATGTTGCACGGGGTAGCAGTGGTCCAGTTACACTCTTTGTTGAAATTTTGAACAAGTTAGTGAATTGGATTGTTGACATTGCCCTATTCTTTACTTAACATTTTGGTTTTGTGTTAAAATGACCAACTTTTCTTGGGTGGGTAAATATGCTTCAGGTACCTCTACTTTTTCGAGAGGGGAAACCCACAGGTAACGGGTGAAGCAATTCAAAGCCTTATAGAACTAATCAAAACTGAGATGCAAAGTGACACCACAACACCAGATAAGGCTTCAAATGCTTTCTTTGCCGGTGTGTTACGGTACATTCAGTTTCAGAAACAGAAAGGCGGAGCAATGGGCGAAAAATATAGTACCATCAGCGTGTGAAGCTTGTAATGGTGTTATGCTATATAGTGTGAGAATGGCCAATCGGCGTACAAGTTTGCAGGGGTGGAGTGAAGCTGGCATTGGGATGGGCGACCAGAGGGGAATCTTGAATGGATTTGGTTTTGTCATCTTCACTCTAAAGATGTGTTTGGTTTAGTCTTTTCAGGATGCAATTGATTTTGCTTTAGCTGCACTTCATCCTCCCAGTTCTAGCAATTTGTCTTTGGTAGCAATCTTATTTTTTGTAACCTTGTTTCAATATATCATTTGTCAAAAACACTTTGCCTTTATTGGTTTAAAGCATTGTATCATTTCTTGATTACAAGGGTGGATTTGTTTGATCCGAGTGTATAAATAAATTTATAATCTAATTCTGATTGTGCTTTTACACTTGTGGTTTCTGTCGTAGCACACCATCTAAATCATACATGTTTTAAAGCAAAACAAACTATACACTACTTCTTATCTAATTAAGCGGAAAAAGAAAAGCATAATCTTTTTCAATTTTTATTTGTAAATCATGTAGAATCTGAAACTATAATGTGATCATTTCTATGCATCCCTTGAATGAATTTTTGAAATCAGAGTACAATTTAATCGAAAAACACCAACGCAAACCGTACATCACAGAGATGAACAGTCTGGTCTGGGAAAGGATGTACAGTCTGGTCTGGGAAAGGGTGATGCAAGCGTTGTAAGGGTATGCAGATTATGAGATTTTTCAAGTTGCAACATTTAAGTTGTGTAGGTCATTTTGACTCACATGGTTATTATATATCATCAAATTATTTCATAGAACTCTCACTTGTGTAATTTCTTATGTGCCATGACAAGTCACGCACTATTTTTAAAATATATTGTCTTATAGATACATGATATTTATTGTATAAATACACATGATGATAAGAACTAAAATAAATCAAGTGATACAGAGCATTTCTCTTCAGCTTACATTGATACCTAATTATGTTTTGATTAGTTATATTAATGAAAAAATATTGATATATTGCACTGGTCATCAAAATATATTTAGTGAATTTACTTTACAAACACAAAGTTCTGAACAAATTCAAAAAATAAGAAAAATATTTTATTTGAATTGTATTCCAATAATGACTTGCAATGTTGTTTTGTATTAAGGACAAAATCTTTAGATCACTACACCCATAAAACGACTCAAACATTGTATGAAATCATATACTTAAATCTAAAGTCAATTTTTACATTATGACAATTCCTCCTTGCCATTTTCAAATTTCATAACTCAAACAGATTTGTACTCGTGTCCCCATATCCTCAGCTGTCATCAATTCATAACAAAATCCGCAAGATTCATATAGCTCAATAAGTGACAATCTTTCGGTGGGGATTTAAAAGAATACTGGGCAGCATCGAGCTCTCATTTCAACCATATAACACAACTTTGAGCAACGAGGCAACTTAAAAAGGAACTGTGAAGGGTAAAGCCCATATATCAGCCTCGGGCATGTACAGGGCACGGGGCCACAAGGTTGAGCCGCCTCTACACGATGCATCACCGTTAACTTCAGTAGATCTTTCCTCGTCTTGATGCTTTTTCTGAAAAAGCCATTCTAGTTCATCAAGATCTGTTTGCTCACCCTGTAGGAGTTGTGGGGGAAGGGGAACCCAATTCTCAACTAGATCTTTGTAAAGTGATGCAACTGTTTGAATACCCTTTTCAAAAGATGTGGGCACAGGAGTAGCCTGCAAATTATCTCGACCAAAAATTCGTATTCCCCCAGAAGTTGAACTACTTTGCTCTTTATCAAGTCTCGAAGAGAGTGCTCCCACAGATGCATCATTCTTTGTGGAATTAGAACAGAACTCTTTGTGAGACGGTCCAAGCAAAATTTTAGAATTGTGTTTGCCAGTTGACTTCATCCTCCCGGAAGTAGTCCGGATTCTCTCTTCACTGACTGCAACATCAGATTCTTTAAGCTTTTGGGAAGGTAGTCGAATTTTATCATTCTCCACGGAAGTCAAACAGAACACTTCTTGAGACTGTCCACGAAAAATATCAGGATTGTGTTTGCCAGTTGACTCTGTCCTCCCAGTAGTAGTCTGGAGCCTCTCTTCACTGACTGGAACATCAGATTCTTTATGCTTTAGTGAAGGTAGTCGAATCCTTATGATGTTTCCTATTTGATGATCATAACAATATGGTGAATAGAAAGCTCTTTTAAAATGCAAAAAATGAAAAAAGAAAATGAAATAACAGAAGAAAACATAACCATCAGAAAAATAAACATAAACTCACCATTAGTATGAATGCCACTCACAGGAGAGGCCTGCCTCCTCCTTTTGTTGCTGTTTTGGATGCTTTCCGACGAGTAGCTGGGGTTTTGTGGACAGGTAGGTTGCTCGTGTTCTTCGGTGAGGCCACTCTTCTCCAACTGTTCAGCTTCTTGCTCTCTACCATTCTGAATGATCCTGCCTTTCAAATCTACCCTATGTTTCTCTGATTTTCGAGTCTTTTCATCACTATGCTTTCTTTTTTCACCTCGACCAAGTTCGCTGACATTTGGCTCCGATTTGCGAGTCTTTTCATCATTACGCTTTATTTTTTCACCACAACCAAGTTTGCTGACATTTGGCTCCGATTTGCGAGTCTTTTCATCATTACGCTTTATTTTTTCACCATGACCAAGTTCGCTGACATTTGGCTTCACATTTGCTTTGTTTTCTCTCCTTTTCTCTTTCTTCTCCCTTTTCCTTTCTTTCTTCTGTTCTGCCTTGACTTTCTCGCTTTCCCTCTGGAGCTTTAAAGCACCAGAAAGAACAAATTTAGAATAGAGGGCTAGGGGAGACCAAAGATGCAAGCATAACGATGAATGAAGAACAAAGATCTTTGATGTTACAGAGAAAGCCATGTTAATTTTGTACCAAGAGAGAGCTAAAATAACATACAACTTGAGACATTCATATTTCCTAAAAATAACTAGGGGGAATACTAATATTAACAGAACTTTCAAAGCACCTAAGCATGCAGCCATTCTGCTCTATCAAGGGAAAACATATTGTCTGAGCCCGGGTTCGAACCGGGGACCTCTAGTGCGTGAGACTAGCGTGATAACCAACTACACCACCCAGACAAGTTTTCCAATATCTGAATTCCTACAGCAAAATATTCGAGTCACCTAACAACACCTCACCAATACAAGTTTCAGGCATCCTCTGATTCCAAAACAATAGACCCCATTGCCAAAATACAACTCTTTCTTTTAAGTCATAATATTTTAAAGAAAATTTGGGAAACAACCCAACCCACATAGCTAACAAAAAGAATTTGGACGATATTACTTTCAAACAAAATCCATTGACCAAGCAATCACATAAAGCTATGTAACAACTCGATCACAGAGCAGAGTAATCAACTCAGTGAAATAAAACCTATGAATCTCTTTTTTTCCACATCGAACAACAACCTCAATTGTATGCATAGCACTATCTTTCCCGCATTTCTCTTCCTAAACTAACTTCAACCATTCCCCCCTCAATACCATGTCCTACAATAAAAATATCTCCAAAATCATCAATTCAGTTCTGGTCCATTTGTTCACTATGGAATAAAGCTGGTTGTGTATGAATTGCAGTATGCTGCAAAAACTAATGCCACAATTCAATATTTATTTATTCACCAAGTCAGAAGCCCAATAAAAATTACCCAAGCCACAAACCGATTGTATCAGCAACCAGTATTCCATTAAAATCCCCTTTTCCCCATCAAAACACAATCATTTAATCTGAAAAGATGATGGGTTGTTATGGATTTCTACAATTACTAGGTCCTTTCGATTATGCCTCAGATACCACCAATATCACCAAATCATCCAACAAAACCATTCATCCACTAATACAAATCATCATCATGGTGCTATGCATACCACCCTCCACCGGAACTAATCGTAAACATCCCTAAAAAACCCATAACCAGAACAAAATCAATAAAAAAAAATCTCATTATTCTTTGATACATATATACATAAACATTTTGCTCGTCTCCTTACAACAATTTTAATTAAGAATTAGAATTCATGATTCTTCACATACATATATATATACATGAATATTTTGATCGTCTATTTACAACAACAATTCCTCTTGAGAACATCATTCGGGTACAATACATACAATCAAGACACAACGAACACTCAGTCGGGCAAAAATTCGCAAAAGCCAAGTGCTCAACAAACCTTAATCGAATCGATCAAGGCCTCGTTCCTGTCTCTATTCGAAGAAGAATAGCCAGGCGGAGGATAAGGAAAACACCGAGACATCCTTCGAACAAATTGTATGTATAGAGATCAGATCTACACGCAACTGTTTCGAATAAACAAAATTGAACCCTAATTGAAATTCGTACGATCGTCTTGTGATCGGAATGAAAACCCAAGACTCGAACGAACAAAATTGGACTGAGACCAAGCAGACAAGCAAACCCTAGGTTTCAAAGGGTTACGGAGATCGAGATTTGGATCTCACGATATATGGAAAACACAATTGCTGTATTTAGAGACGGAGTGGGCGGTATATATAGGCATGTGGGGGTTGGCATGGTACGTAGGTTTGTTAATGGGCCGGGCCGGCCTTTATATATATATATATATGTAAATAAATGAGTATTATATATGGACTTTATAATTATATTATATTTTTTTCGTTATAATTAAAAAAAAAAATCAAAACTAATTACAAAAAAAATTATAATTAAATATCTTAACATAATGTCATAATTAAAAAATAAAATAACATAACTAAATATGTAATGATGCGTGATGTGTATAATAAAATTGTCTGTTATATATAATCATAGTGGGGTTTGGATTAGTGTACTAATTGATGATGTGACATAATTTAAGAGGTCTTTGGTGTTTATAATTTATATAATGAATATGATCAATGATAATGCTATAATATAGGTGGATATGCTAGGTAATATACTAATTGATACACAGTACCACCGTTACTATTAATCCCAAGTGACAAACTCCCTGTTCATTGGTCTTGTGATAACCTCTAATTAACATTATTTACATTTGGCTTAAAAAAATTTATCCAATCTAACTATATCTATTTTTTTTTAAGGTAAACTTTATGTATTTAAAATGTACTTCCAAGTTATATAAATTATGGGGACTTAAACTCCATGTTATTGGTCACCTCCAGTTAACAATTTATTTTTATTTTTATATATTTATAACTATTAGAGTCAAAATAAAATATATATATATAAAAGTCAAAATAAAAAATTTGTGAAACTTAAGAGAACACGGTCTAATTATACATTTTTATGTGACACAGTTGACATGGCATGTCTAAAATTAGATGAAAGTTAGTTTTAATAATATGGCCTGGCTTTGGTCCAGTTCATCATCGGACTGGATTGTACTGTTGGGCTCATAGGAGTCCATCGCGAGTCTTGTTTTGAAAATCTGAACCGTTCAATGTGTAAAACTCATCGAGTACTATATGACTGTGAAAAATCACATTGATCGGATATCAATAACTATGTGATCAAAACAGTTTTTTATAAACCGTTAATTTATTCACCATCCATTTTTTTTGTACAAAACTGATTTAATCACATAGCTATCGATATCCGATCAACGTGATTTCATATGCATGTAGTATTCGACGAGTTCTACACATTGAACGGTTCAGATTTTCAAAACGGGACCGTGGTGGGCCCCCACGACCCCAACAGCACGGTCCAGTCCGATGGCGGACTGGACCAAAGCCAAACCCTTAATAATAAATTGCAAAAAACTAAAAACATTAGGGTCTAAATAAAAACAAATAACTAAAATGAAAAAAATCATAAAATTTAAAGAAAGGAAAAATTTAATTTATCATAAAATATATGTCCCAAACCTTTTACCAATAGAGTAAATTACAAGTCAGTGATATATGATTGTCTTAAATACTAATAAATCCTGTATATTATTTTAATGGGTGATGCACCAATAAATCTCAAATTAATAACTTATACATTGTTTAGTCCTAAATGTTTTCTTATAAACTAAACAGTCCCATTGTAAGGGAATTGACCATTGAGGGCATATACATTGTGTTCGTGAGTGGTAAGACTAATGGACAAACTTGGTAATTTGATAATGTGAAATTACGGAAATAGGGCAGTAGTCGTCATCAATATCATCAACATTATCAACATCGGTGCTACGATCAACATCATCAACCTCAGCGCCATGATTGACGTCATCAACATCAGCACCATGATCGACATCATCAACGTTAGTGCCATCATCAACATCAGCGACATCAACGCCATGATCAACATCGTCAACATCTGCAACGTTTGTTGGGAAAAGGTCGATCCAACATCAACATTAGTGCTAGACATCATCAAACATCAGGGCCATGATCAACATCATCAACATTAGTTCCATCATCAACATCAGTGACATCCACCACCACCGTATCCACCCTCACGACGACCACCACCACCGCGGAACCCGCCGCCTCTGCCACCACCGCTTCCGCGGGACTGGGCCTCGTTGATGGTGATGTTGCGCCCGTCAAGATCCTCACCGTTTATTCCCTCGATAGCGTCTCTCATCGACTGCTCGTCCTTGAACATCACGAACCCGAACCCCCTGGATCTGCCAGTCTCACGGTCGTTGATGACACACCGATCCAATACCACCGCCGTTGGTGATGTAATTGATGTTGTTGCAGATTTTTAGGAAACAAACATTCCACAAAAAGAGTACTATTGTAACCTTCAAAATAATGAAAATTAAATAAACAACATTACCAAAATAAAATGGAACTAAACGGTGCATAAGAAAATTTTTAGGACTAAATAGTTCAACTTTTCAAAAAAATAAGATTTATGAGTAAATTTTCTAATATATCAATATATTAAAATATTTATTTTGTCTTGACACTTTTGAAAATATTGATAGGTGTCCTAAAAATTAGGCTGAGTGGGCCACTGGGCTGGTGCCCACATGAAAATGGGTAAATTAATAGAATTAGCCCAAGTCTCACGGTCGTTGATGACACACCAATCCAGTACCACCGCCGCTGGTGATGTAATTGATGTTGTTGCAGATTTTTAGGAAACAAACATTCCACAAAAAGGGTACTATTGTAACCTTCAAAATAATGAAAATTAAATAAACAACATTACCAAAATAAAATGGAACTAAACGGTGCATAAGAAAACTTATAGGACTAAATAGTTCAACTTTTCAAAAAAATAAGATTTATGAGTAAATTTTCTAATATATCAATATATTAAAATATTTATTTTGTCTTGACACTTTTGAAAATATTGATAGGTGTCCTAAAAATTAGGCTGAGTGGGCCACTGGGCTGGTGCCCACATGAAAATGGGTAAATTAATAGAATTAGCCCACAACTGGAGTTGGTACCGGGTTGTATAATACGGTACCCGATTCGATTGAATACAAAATGATCACATATATAATTATTAAGATCAGATAAACCCTTGAGCTAGTCGACTCGCAAGCAACGCAACGTCATTCCAAAACGATGAAGAGAGCAGACTTGGCGGTGCCATTGGCCGCGCCATAGACGGCGGCGCCACCGCCGTCACGGGCGGCTCCGCCACTACTACACACCTGTTTCAACAATCGAAGCTATACGGTAGCGGCTTCTCTTCCGTGAAGCAGCCTCGTTGGTTTTCTCCTCATCATTCCATTGCGAAGCACTCGACGCCGCGCTCCGCCGAAGAATGCGTCGCCGGAACTATGTTCTTCTCCGTCGCCGCCTCCTCCTCCTCCTCCTCACTCGCTGAAGATGTCCATGATGCCAAGGAACTGCCTCCTCAGTCCATGAAGTTGTTCAACCCCAAAGACGTCGTCCTTTATCAGTACCAAGCTTGCCCCTTCTGTAATAAAGTTAAAGGTATTCATAAATTCATTCTCTTTTTCTTCCATTTCAACTACTTGTAAAATTATAGGGCTCTTTTTTTTTTTTTCGTCATTTCCATCCTCTAATAGCAGATGCTAATATTTTAGGGGAACACCCCATGCCCCTTATGATTAAAACGAAAAGAAAAATGTGAATCGTAATTAGATAAAAGAAAAAATGTCGCCATAAGTAAAACCTCAGAGTCATGACTAAATAATGGCATGAGTAAAGTAGGGGTGCATATGATACACTTGTTTTAAACAAGTGTATATTAGAATTTTCCAATATTTTATCTCAAAGTTCATAACTTCATACCGCAGCCACAATTGACGGCACGATTATATAGAACTGAATCATTTCAAGTTTTATTTGTTGCGCTTACAGTCTAACCCATTTAATTACATATGAAAACACATTGCAATTAAATTCTCAATGGACAAAAAATAAACCCCTAATGCATTGTTCGGAGCGGATGCACAACTCCAAGAAGTTTTAAGTCAGTTGAATCAAAATACAATTTGCATGCTATTGGTGTGTTATGTTGTCTTGTGGGATTTCAAATGACTGAATTATCTTTTACATAGCCTTTTTAGGCTCAAAGAGATCTCTAAATTGGAGGTCCATTTTATTTTCTTTAGCTTTCATTGGGTGTCAAAAGGTGAAACTGAGTGAAAAAGAGTTGTGATTAAACTGATGAGTCTTCATATCATATGTGATGCAAATTTTTTTGGGGTCATATATTTGATGCATATTACTGTCAAATTTTGTTCTTCTTTAGTAAAATTGAATCATTGATGTTACTCTCACTCTTTTTCCTTAATTTTCTTCTTCTATCAGCTTTCCTGGATTACCATGACATTCCTTACAAAATTGTGGAGGTCAACCCCATCAACAAGAAGGAAATCAAATGGTCTGATTACAAGAAGGTCCCCATACTGGTTGTTGATGGTGAACAGATGGTTGACTCATCAGGTTCTCGATATAGAACATTTTGGTTGCTTGCTTTTGTTTTCTTATAAAGAACTTTGGGAAATTGACTAGTTTGCTTCCTCATTGTTAGAATTTTGCAAGCTTTAGTTTGTTAGTTCATTGGTCTAAAGGAACTTCATAGACTACTTCTAGTTCCCTTTTAACTAACTTTATAAGATTTTGAATGCTGTATGTGTGCAGACATAGTTGATAAGTTGTTTGAAAGGATCCATCCCGAGATATCTGTTGACTCTGCCTCGGATGGTGACGAAGAAAGGAAGTGGCGTGGGTATGGTCTTTAAGATTATAATTTGCTTTGTCTCCATATATGTACTTTACCTTCATGGTCTTCTTATGTTGATGTTAACAGTTAGTTGATATTATAAGGAGGAAAAGGTTAATCCAATTGTATGAATTGTTTTTGCCAATATGTGTTATGATTATCAATATATATATGTATGTATATGTTATGGAAATATTATTAAATCGCTCATTCTATTGCCTTTTTTTTTTTAACTTTAATGAATGTTGCTACTTGTGATGTAGGTGGGTGGATAATCACTTGGTGCATGTCTTATCACCAAATATATATCGAACTACTTCCGAGGCTCTCGAGTCATTTGACTATATTACAACCCATGGTAACTTTTTAAATCATCATTGGAATGCAAGTTTGAAGAAATAATTACAATTTACACTCTTAGACTTTGAAGAATGTAAAATAGGAGGAAAAAAAAATTATATATGCTGTTTCTTATATTTGTTGGTCCATCATTTGATTCAAACTTAAATCATAGATGCCATTTTGTTTTTGTAGTCATTTTTTAAAATCAACACGCCAGAGAAATCTTCAATTTAATTCTCTTGTACACTATTAGATATATTGTCATGAACAGTCTTATTTGTGACTCATGATCAGTTTCAGTAAACCAGAAACTTAGGAAGGATAAATATATCATTTCATTTAAGTTTTAGAGGGTCGTGTTTTTCATTGTGACTTGTGTATGCATTATTGGTTTTTCTGCAATTAATTGGAAACTCATGCACATTGGAAGGTTTGTATTTCATGTTGTTTAGTCATTCTCTGGTGTCGGTCTGTTTTTCTGTTGAAACATAGACAAAGTTGTAGTATCCGCATATTTCTCGGGATCGTTCAGTAACATAAGAAAAGGTCAAAAGTTATTCAACTTAACCCTATGAATCTAATTCAACCTTTTAAGTCATTTGTGTGTAATTATTTTGAACCAGGATGGTGAGAACTTAGTGATTCTTGTTTAGCAATACAATTAGTGATTGTGGCTAAAATGGGGCTGTAAGAACATATTGATCTACAAGTTTTGAAATATGGATGAATTGATTCAAGGAATCCAGGAACCCTGCTATGAGCTTTCTCCAAGTAAGAAAGCCATGGGCATGTCTATAAAAGGTGTATTCTTTGAATACATTGTTGATATTGCTGCTGCTGAGAGGGGATTTTCTGTAGGGAATAAATGTATTTGTATTTTTTTAACCCTGCTGTAAGCGAAAACCTTTTGCATTGGGTACAACTTTTATATTTTCTTGAAATTGCAATTCGTAGTCAATGGTTCTTGTCTACATTGGTTTGTATTGTATGGATTAGCTATAGTTATAGTTTGACTTAAAGCAAGTTTGATTAAATTATGCGTGGCAAAAAGCATGGGTATAAGGTTTTACTGTACAAACTAATGTGGTTGATATATAAAGCATAATCAAGATAAATATCATGTAATGATTGATAAGTTTCATGGTTGATAAATTGCTGAAATTCTGGTAATTTAGATATCAATTCTGCTGTAAATTTTTTGGGGCTAGTTTACTTTGTAATCACAGATTTCTTCTGGGTTGCCTGTAACATTTGAGCTCATTCTTGTGCTAAATAATATTACTCACAGTGATGGCTGCTAAATAATATTACTCACAGTGATGGCAGATTGACACCAACAAAAAATATACTGAGAATTATCGCAATAATTCATTATGATTACAGGCAATTTCAGCCTCACTGAAAGGATAGTAGCAAAGTATGCTGGAGCTGCAGCCATGTATTTTGTTGCAAAGAAACTAAAGAAGAAACACAATATCACTGATGAGCGTGCAGCCTTGTATGAAGCTGCAGAGACATGGGTGGACGCTCTGAATGGTCGAAAATATCTTGGTTTGTTCAATTCCTATTACTATTTTTGTGATTTGATTACCAGACAGATGACAATCAGATCTTTGCCTTTGTAACATGGATACATGTTTTCTCAACAGGTGGGTCAAACCCAAATCTAGCTGATCTTGCGGTCTTTGGCGTCTTGAGACCTATTCGCCACCTCAAGTCTGGTAGAGATATGGTGGAGCACACGCGCATTGGTGAATGGTACACTAGAATGGAAAGCACAGTGGGAGAGCCTTCTAGAATAATGGCATAAAGTAGAATGCCTTCTAGAATATGAGCAAATAATAGAGAGAAGAAATTACTTTTGAACTTTTTAGGGTAGGTTATACAAAACAATGCCACCCGCTTTATTCCACTTTGTTAAGCAGGTTGTTTTGCAACTGTTAATCGCGTCTGGATACTCATTCAAGTTGGTAGCTATTCGTATGCTTTGATGTGTTTGATGCACGGTCGGTTTATTCGTGTGCGCTCTAAGCTAAATTGTAGTTTCATTTTTGTCAAAATTTAAGAATTTCCATATATAGAAAGAGATTTTATTTGAACTTGGCAATTTGGCTGCAGGTCTATTGTGGTAATTATGACAACCTTACGAGTATAACATTGATTTCACCCCTAGTTTTAAAGGACCAGAGACGGACAATTGTAAATTGCTCTTGAAACTCTATAATGTTTGCGCGACATTTTTTTTCTCTACTCTTGAACTTTAACAAAATATTTGTTTATTTTCATGTGGAGTTGAAATAAAAATCATTAAAAATAAAATTTTGAAAAAAAAAATACGTCTTTTTTTTTTTAAAAACTGATCACAAACTCATCTTGAATAAAAAAGAAAAAGTAAATTATAATTTAATCCCCTGTGGTTTGCCTAAAAAACACGGAGCCCCCCTATAGTTTCATTTGTAACACTTAAACCCCTTATACTTCATACCAAAGTGCAATTTTCGACGGAACTGTTTGTTTAAACAGAACGTGTGCTGTACAACCATGAATGAAGAGTGGAACAGTTTTTCCCACCCAAAAACGTATGGCAAATGACCAAGATACCCTTATTGCCATATATATATACAAAATGGTGTAGTGCAATAAAGCATAGATTACACTCTTGGCAAAACATTAACATCTTTATGCCCAAACGAAATTCAATGTTTGAGCATGGGTTTCATTTACGTCAAGCATTTACATCCTTTGAGCATTGGTTTGAGCATGGGTTTATTTACCTCAAGCATTAATATCCTTTGGTTTGCTTCATTTACCTCAAGTTCTCTTTCTCTCTCTCTCTCTCTCTCTCACATTATATAAATATACAACACCATAATCTTCCATGCAAAACCACCACCATCACCTTTTGTTTCCCCTCTCATCTCATCACCATCACCTTCCATGCAAAATCACAACCAACCAACATCACCGCCATCATATTCCATGCAAAACCACAACCAACTTCTTATTCCATGCAAAACCACCACTCAAAATCACCACCACAACTTCTCTCTCTAAAAATAATCCAAACCCACTTTTCTTCTTATAATTCAAATTAGTAACAAACCTGTGTGAGTGATATTCCGACCACTCTGCCAACTCAGTATTCAGCTGGAGAGCACTGGCAGAATAGATGACACTTGTCTGACCTGCAACAGAAAGAGAAGATTCCGGCGGTGGTTCGTCCACCCGAGGGCACTCCGACGATCAACTCAGTATATCTCTCAAAGATAATCAATAGTGCTAACTCACTATTCAGAATATAAATTGCGTACCTTAGACCCATGGGGGTGCCTCTCTTTTATAGCAAACTCAATCCTAGTCCCAATAGAAGCCTAGCTCTAATGGACTTAGGATTACTGCTAATCTTGGACTCTCAGTAGGATTAGGATAAACTCTCTAAGAGTCTTCTCTTTACCCAAACTGAAGTCTTCTCCCATTCTAGGACTCTTGTCCCTTTTCCGCTTATCTCGGATTCTGGTATTGCCGCAGAATACCTCGGTAGTGCCCCAAATATCTCGGCAAATATGATCTGCCCAAGTAGCACCTCGGCTAACAACCTCGGCCACGTGGCCTACCCAAAAAATATGTCCCCACAACTGTCCCTAGGTTCTATTACCTTGGCAAACTGAGGTGATGGAACCTATATTCTCTTTCATCTAGCACGTCGGCTAAGCCTGCTTCATCATTTATTGCTGAAGTCAGAACTCATCGGCTCAATATGACCCAAAGCTATAGTTTGCTTTCATCAAGGCTTTGGAACCAACAACCAAATTCGTTCAAGTTTCTCAGCCGAAACTGTCATTTTAGCCGAGGTATTTGTTTCATTAAATCAAGAACTTCAAGAGTTTTCTTCATGCGTATGAACTGGCACATACAATTTTTCAACTGTTTCTGCCACACATCTTTCCTCTACTGAGCCGTATCTGATACGCGTCATTAAGTCCCTTTGCATCTGCGTATTTGATCAAAATCTTTTCACTCTCTCCGTTTTTTCAAAACTTTCTCTTTCAAATCCTCTATTGCTGCTTTTGCGAAGCTTTCTGCAACTAGTTTCACTCTCCCCTTTGGTGAGGCTTCTGCTGCACTTCCTTGCTTACGGCCACCGTCTGATCCCGGCGAACTTTACTTCGGCTTCATTGCTTTACTCATTCATGTCTTTTGATCATTTAACCTGTATCTTGATTTTTACCATGTACTGAACATGTACTGTCTTTGTACCTTGTACTTTTTTGTTACTCAAACAATTTATTCTTCAATGTCAGGCCGAAGTGTCTTCTTTCTTTATCTGAATGCATTTTTTAACTTCTTCTTTCAAGCGTTTTGAATGTTTACCCTCTTCTTAATGCCTTGTATGATTCCATACTTAGAATATAATTTGCATGTCTTCAACATACACTTTAACTGTGCAATCTCCCCAGGTTAACATACCTCGGACAAAACTTCCAACCTTGCTTATCTTAGTCTCGGTTTAACACTTGAAAACATTGTAACAACTATTTTCACAAATGTTGCTTTTACTTCTTAAGACTTCTGTCCTCCATTATCTTCCAAGTCTTGGTAACATAGTCACCTCGGCACGCATATAGATACTTCTATAACCTTGGATTTAACTTCAACTTATAAATTTTCTCAAAATTTCAACAAGTGTTAAATCAATCTTCTTTCTCTATTTAACTTCAACTTGTAAACTTTTCTCAAGTTTCAACAAGTGTTAAACATCATCTCGGTTTAACTTCAACTTGTAAATTCTCTCAGAATTTCAACAAGTGTTAAACATCATCTCGGTTTAACTTCAACTTGTAACCTTTTCTCAAGTTTCAACAAGTGTTAAACATGATCTCGATTTAACTTCAACTCCCAAACATCATTCTTCAGTCATTTGCCCCCTAATGTGAACTTAAGTTCTACTTGGGTTCTCATTAGGCACGTGGCTTTGACCTTGATATTGTTCTATGGGCAGGGGATCTGCCCCCTGCATGGCTTCCACATACTCCTTTGTGGAAAAAAAAATTCTTTAACTTAGGCCAGGCTTTTCTCTTCTCCGACTTAATCATCTAAGTCGATATCTTGTCTTCTGGGACTTGGGATTCTAGATCTGGAATCTGGGATCTGCTCACTTGGGCTAGGCTTTTGTCTTCTCGTGTCCAGTATTATCTCGGCTTTGCTTCAGCGAACCATTTCTCTTCTCTTGTTTGGACGCTTTTGTCCCCGACGTGTCTCCCTCGGCTCTGGCATACTTTTCTATTTTGGCCATCAGCTCCTCCATGCTTTTCGGCAATGTCTTTGCCAGTGATTTTCGAAGCAGGCAGTCATCATTCAAGCTGTTTTTAAATGACATGACCGCCACCTCTTGGTTGCATCCTAGTATTCGGTTGAATACCTCATAATACCTTTTGGCATAGGCCCTACGGCTTTCATCATTACTGATCTTCAGGGCCATTAGGGCGTCTACCCTCAATGGCTATAGTTTGTTTGTCACGAACCTGGCCACAAACATCTCGGCCAGGCCTTCCTAGGTTTTCATAATTCCTTTCGGCAACTTGTGAAACCAGTCCGATACAATTTTCCCGAATGATGAGGGGAACACTTTGCAGAGCAACAGCTCGTTCCCAATGTATAACGCCATCGCGTTCAGGTATAATCCGACGTGAAAGTTGGGGTCCGACTTCCCATCGTATATCTGGAACCTCGACATACTGAATCTCTTTGGGACCTCAACTTTGTCTAATTCTTCCGAGAACGGCGTTCTCGGTTTGACCGGGGAGGTTACCTCGGCATCTTGTTGCTTCCTCTGTAGGTGTGATCTCCTAGATCCTCTTTGGCTCGTCCAAGGGCTCGACTATCTCCAGATTTCAGCCTCTTTGGGGCACTACTTCTAGTGTCATCGTGAGTCCTTTTGGACCTCCCTCTATTGGTTGTGTTGAAACATAGTTCCTTTCCCTGAACATCCCGATGTTCTTTGGCGCAGTCTTCTTTGGTTCAACGTGTCTTCTAGGATTCTCTTCTCATTGATTCTCCATGCCCGAGCTCCCGTGAAGGCTGGTGAGAATGTCCCTTGGTCCTGTCGTGCTGAGGGACTGCAGGAACTATTTTCTGCCCCCCTTTTTGGACACCTTTCTTGGCCGCTGGAATCGACGTATCTTGTAACGGGAATGGTGGTTGCATGACATTATTCTGTATCATGAAATTACCGACTGTTTACAGGTCCGTCAATTTGTCCGTTATTCCTTTTATCTCGTTGTCCCTCCGCAGGCATCTATCTTTCCATACCTGGAGGTCATCCTCGTTATAATACCCGCTCCTGTCCGATTTCTTCGGTAAGCCGCCCTCCTGGCCGACGTCCTTTCCTTCGTGATTCTTATCGCGAGTCTCTTCGTTGCAGTTGTCTTCTTCGACGTCAAGGTCAATATGTTTCCCACTCTCAGTAGGGGTGTCGTCCCCAACCTTCTCTTTCTGTCCGTCGTTGGCCATCTATTCTCCTTTCTTTCCCACAGATGGCGCCAAATTGTGTGAGTGATTTTTAGACCACACTGCCAACTCAGTATTCAGCTGGAGAACACTGGCAGAATAGATGACACTTGTCTGACCTGCAACAGAAAGAGAAGATTCCGGCGGTGGTTCATCCACCCGGGGGCACTCCGACGGTCAAGTCAATATATCTCTCAAAGATAATCAATAGTGCTAAACTCACTATTCAGAATATAAAATTGCGTACCTTAGACCCATGGGGGTGCTTCTTTTTTATAGCAAACTCAATCCTAGTTCCAATAGAAGCCTAGCTTTAATGGACTTAGGATTACTGCTAATCTTGGACTCCTAGTAGGATTAGGATAAACTCTCTAAGAGTCTTATCTTTACCCAAACTGAAGTCTTCTCCCATTCTAGGACTTTTGTCCCTTTTTCGCTTATCTCGGATTCTGGTATTGCCGCAGAATACCTCGGCAGTGCCCCAAATATCTCGGCAAACATGATCTGTCCACGTAGCACCTCGGCTAACAACCTTGGCCATGTGGACTACCCAAAAAATATGTCCCCACAAAACCGAACCCATGAAATCAAACAATTAAT